GTGGGAGAATCAAAGGGAGGAAGCTGCTGCTAGATCTGACAACGGGAGGTCAGAGGAGCTGCCACGTGGCATCTGCAGGGTAGAGCCTGCAAGAAAGTGGACAATGACGAGCGCTGCTAACCGGGTGAGGGATGCGATCGAGGCATTGATTGCTGACGTGGACAGGTCGGTGATGCGTCCACAGCAGAAGCAAGCTTACAAATGTTGCTATGATTGCTGCGACAACGACAAGTTGACAGGCGATCAGCTTCAGCAGTGCATTCAGAACTGCACGATCACAGTCCAAACAACGGAAGAGATTGTGAACAGAGAGCTGTCTCAATTTCAGGAGCGCTTGCAGCGATGTGCAAATCTATGTCAGGAAAGGGCTAGAGACGAGATGCCCATTGGGGATTCTGTCAGCAGTGGTGTCCGGGCAAAACTCCAGGAATCAATGGACTCTTGTATTGACAAGTGTGCAGAGGAACAATTGAGAGTTCTTCCAAAGGTGATGGAGAGAATAAAGTATTACGCAACTCATCAATCAAGGCGCTGAATCATTTACCGCAGTTCAATTCCACCTTTTAAATTGTCTCACTGATTGGTTGCTTTGCTGACCCTCTCCCAACCCCTCTACCCCTCTACCCTCCTCCCCATACCGACCTACCCACCTACACACCTACACACCTACCCACCTACCCACTTACCCACTTACCCCCCTATCTATCTACCCACCACATACCCCCCTAACTATCTACCCACCTACCTATCTAACCCCCCTACGCACCTACCCATCTACCCACCTACCCACCTACCCACCTACACCGTACCTCCTTACCCACCTCCCCACCTTCCTACCTCCCCACCTACCTCCCTACCCACCTCTCTATTACCTGCATACGAATCTGCTTCTGACTTTGATGAGCAAGTAGATCGACGTGCGTTTTACACTAGCGAGTTTGTGGGTTTACTGTCTGTTTGATTGTACCTCTCTGTGCTCTTAGTTGTGATTTGTGATTTCTGCTGAGCTAGAGGAAGAGGAAGTGGTTAGGGAAAAAGTTACTGGAGGGGAAGTTTCCCCCAGTAAGGTACTGCAGTGGTATTTACTACAGTTGCCTTACATCTCAGAAGAGTTGAGTTAAATACTGCACTTCAATGCAATGCAGGTTTCTGCGGCAGTCGCAATCGGAAAAATTGCATCAGGGAAAGTTAGGACAGGACGCTGGGCCCGGTTCCCAGCATTGAAAAAAAAAAAGAAAAAAGAAGAAGAAGAAGAAGAAGAAGAAGAAGAAGGAGAAGAAGAAGAAGGAGAAGAAGATTGAATTAAAAAAAAAAAAAAACACCTGATTTGATGGAGGGTTGAGGACTAACCCACCTTCCCTCCATTGACAGAACAAATGGCCAATTTGCCCCTGTCAAAATCTACCTGGACGTCCAGGGCCGTGTTGACGTCCAGGTATATTTTCGAAGGGGCGAAGTGGTCATCAGCTTCTTTTCCAAGGACCGGATATCCATCTTTCTCTCTCTGAGTAGTTACTGCGTTGAGGTTGTCAGTTTTCTGCTTTGATCATCTGCTTTCTATCAGGAAGGCAAATAATTTTCGTCTTCTTGTTCGTTGAGAAAAAGCACAAGCCTGTCCCTCGGGACATCCGTTAAAATTGGAATGATACAGAGAAAGAGAAGATTAGCAGCATGGCCCCTGCGCAAGGATGACACGCATAAATCGAGAAATGTTCCAAAATTAAAAAAAGTAGAAAAACAAGCCTGCTGCTTCACTGATTGAACGAGCCTAGCTCAAGTCGATTAGATTTCGCATACCGTTTGGGGATTTGCTTTTTATGTATGTTACTTAGCCTGCC